AGGAAAAAAAAAAAAAAAAAAAAAAAAAAAAAGCAACAGCAGTGTGGCTGCGGGTAACCCGCAATGGGCCACTGCCTCCAAGGTGCTAAAAAGATTGGGGGGGGGCTTTAATGTTGCTTTTTCCTCCCCCCTTCCCCAAGCAGCAACACAAGATGTGCTGGAGAGGAGGGCCCTGACTCGGTGGTTCAGCCCCGGTGCTTGGAGCTTGGGGGTACCAGTGGGAGGATGCGGGGAAGCTGGGGGGTGAGCTGCTGGAGAGACGTGGCAGAGAGAAGGGGGAATGTCAGAAAAAGCCCAGACTGCTGCCCTGAGCTGTCCCTGTTGGGGCAGAGAGTTTGGGAAACGTCTGGAGGGGTAGATGAAGCGTGAAAACCGTAGACCAGCTTCTGTCCTGCGTTGCAGCATAGGCAGGAGATGGTCCAGGCAACTCAAATGTGAGCATAAGAAGGTCAAAGACCAAAAACACATTTAAAAGATGCCGGTCACCCAACAGTGACTTTTTACCCAGTACTGCCCTTGGCCAGCCTTGAGCTGACACTGATGCCCGGCCTCCCCAGGACCCACCAGCCTGATCCCTGCACCCTTGTACGCAGTGCCTGCAGGGCATCAGCACCTTTTGGAGGGAAATGGGGACAACTGGGAAGCCAGGAGTGGATTTTAGGGGCAGTTACAAAGAAAGGAGAGAGGAAGATTCATCTGTGTCCTTCTTGTTACATAGGAGGGGGTGAAAGGGGAGTGATTAACGCCGTTAAAATACATTGTGCCAAGTACTAAACATACGCACAGCACTTTAGGAGCGTAGGGCTGCGTGCAGCTTGCTTGGTGTCTGGCCAGCTCCAGGCGCAGAGTCTGCCTGGAGGAGTTACAGCTCTCAGAACCTCCCCAGAGCAGGGTCCGGCAGCCTGCTGTGTCTCCGAGGGGTGTCCTCGAGGGGGCTGGGGAGGTTTTGGTGCTTAGGGGTGCGCAGCTTCCCAGCTCAGGGCATCCAGCACCCCGAGGTGCGGTGGCAGGAGAAGGTGGGCTCCCACGGGCAATGAGCTGGTAGGGAGGAGGTTTTGGGGCTGGAGCGGTGGAGTCTGAGGTAGGCAAGGCTCGGTGGATAGACTGGTTTGGCATTGCAAAGTGGGATCTCCTGGGAGTGTGTGCATGGCATGGGTGCATCACTGGCCCTGATGGCACTGCTTCCCTCGCCATCCGAGGCGCAGGATGGGACATCTCCAGGGGTAGCGCCTTGTAAGCTTTTCAGGTGTCCGGGGCTTGCTGGTGAGGTGGCCCCGGGTGCTCAGCGTGCACTGGGAGCCCACAGGTTTTAGGGCATGCTGCTGTTTGAGCCTGGTGCTTTCAGCACTGTCAGTGCTGGGGCAGAGCACTGCATCGATAGCACTCGTGTGGCTGCAAGAAACTTCAGGTCAGGGCATCTTGGAGGATCTCATGTTGGTCGGTATGCAAGCTCCCTTCAGCCTTAGCTAGTCCAGCAGGGGAGCAATTGAGGTACATGCTTTAATTGAAATGAATGGAGGCCCCTGTGCATTCCTGATGTTTTAAGCATCGGACTCCATCTGCAGTGCTCCCCTGGAGTTACCCAATGGTACAAAAGGGGCTGAAGAGATGTTAAGAGGGCAGCTTGTGCACCCTCCTGCCCCTGGATCGCCTCCCAGTCGAGGCTGGACAAGCATTTATCTAACTACTGTTAAAAGCACCTGAGGCTGGAGGTCCCCTGCCTCCTGGGTGCTGCCCGTTGGCGTTCTGCGGGCTTCACGAAGGACGGGAGAAAGCCACAAGTCTGAGCCAAGCAGCCAGCACACCTCATGGGAGCAGGCGGATGGAGGGATGCCTACCAAATGCTGCAGTGGGCTGCCCAGCTCCAGGGTGCTGGGGCTATACCAGGGTGGGATTCACCCCTCGGCCTGCTGACACCATGGCTGTGCCCCTTGCCAGCCTGTCTGCCAGCACTGCCCTCTGCGGGAGTGCCAGCATTTATTTATTGTGCCAAAGATAGCGCTTTGTTTACTCTTCAAGGAGCATCCTCTCCCAGACAGGAGGGCTGCTGCTGGCTGTGCTGCAGCCCGCTCCTGCTGCTGGGACAGCCCTGGGCTGACTTGGGGCAGGACTGAACTTGCTTTGCCTTTCCTTGCCCCAAGCAAGGCTTTTCTCAAGTATTCAGCCCCCTGCTCCACAGCCTTGGATGCAATGAATAAAAACACACCCTCCCCTCAAACATGGGCTGTAATGTTACCAGGACGCAGTGTATGTGCGTGCACATGGGTGCTCACTCCTTCCTCCCCAGTTCTTGGTTGTGCCCCTCCCTTCAGTGGTGTCCTGGGCACTGGTGCTTTATTGCATTAGGAATATTTGCAGTGGTTCCTTGCGATACCTCAGAGGAGAGCTGTGTCTCAGGACCGGCCGACCCCCTTTGCAGCCATGGCCAGGGTCCCCGAGGACATCGGTGGGGCAGGGCGGCTGCACTGCAGGTGCTAACCCCCGCCTTTAGCCCAGAGCGACGGGTGAGATTATGTAAAGCAGGGTGCAATAAACCCCCCCACTGCCACATGCGGATGCTCTGGGGTGGTGATGCTGAGGGGCTGGGACCCAGCACTGGGCATTTTGTTCAACCTCGGGCAGGCTGAGGTTGGGCCACTTCTCGCCATGCAGATGCCACGGTGCGTGGAAAGCCGTGGTGTGGGGCTGTGGCAATGCGATGTCCCAGCTCCCAGCAGGAGCTGTCTCCGGGAGGAGAGGGTGCATCTGATCCCCTGCATCCTCCTGGGTCACATGGACAGACCAAGTCATTCCTGTCATGTAACCTTGTCCAGTGTTATGATGATGTATAAAGTTTTGTACATATGAGATTCAGAGCTTTTTAACTTTTAATATTTATTAATTTTGTTGAGGGTTTTTTTTTGAACTCTAACATAATGTAAAAAAAAAAATTAAATCCACGTCAAAATCTCTTTCCATTGATTTATTTGGGAGGGTGGGTGTGTGAGGGAGGAAAATAGGAGTGGGAACTGCATGTAGGTGTTGAAATGGATTTCACACAGTGAGCCACCACCTCTATTTTTATAGAATTATAGAATGGTTTGGGTTGGAAGGGACCTTGAGGATCATCTGGTTCCAGCCCCCCTGCCATGAGCAGGGACACCTTCCACCAGACCAGGTTGCTCAGAGCTCCATCCAACCTGGCCTTGAACCCTTCCAGGGAGCAGGCAGCCACAGCTTCTCTGGGCAACCTGTGCCAGTGTTTCACCACCCTCATGGTGAAGAATTTGTTCCTAATAGCTAATCTAAATCTGCCCTCTTTTAGTTTAGAGCTGTTCCTTCTTGTCTTATCACTACACACCCTTGTGAAAAGTCCCTCTCCTTCCTTCCTGTAGGCCCCCTTCAGGTACTGGAAGGCTGCTATAAGGTCACCCCGGAGCCTTCTCTTCTCCAGGCTGAACAGCCCCAACTCTTTTAGACTGTCCTCATAGGAGAGGTGCTCGAGCCCTCTGATCATCTTTGTGGCCCTCCTCTGGACCTGCTCCAGCACATCCATGTCCTTCTTATGTTGGGAGCTCCAGAGCCGGATGCGGGTTTTTTTGTTTGTTTTGTTTGGGGTTTAGTATTTTTTTATTTTATTTCAACCCAGTCGCTCCTGTTTTATCAGCCAGTTTCATATACCTGTTTTGAGTTGATTTTTTTTTTCTCCCCTTAAATGAGACAAAGACCCAGCAAAATCCACAGATTACAAGCACCGTGCTGTGGCTGTAATAACATTGTGTGACACCCCGCACAGCTGCTCGGCTCCACTCTTGTGAGGCTTGTCTCTAGCTGTGGTTGGCAGCAGCTTTATGGCACAATGTGCTTGTTCCCAGGGTGCAGGTAGTGTCGGGATCCCTGGCCGGGCCGTCCCTGCTGCTGTGAAGGGCTGTGGCTGTGGGATGGCTGGTAATCTCCTGGGGCTCCTCCTAGGACAAAACCCACCTAGGGTTTTACCGTGCTGCAGGTCTGCAGCGACAGGCTCGCCTGGATGCATGGTCCCGAAGGGCACAATGCTGCGTTACGGGCTTGAGTCCAGTCCTGCCGGAGTTTTGCTGCTGCCGTCTTCATTACCTGCTTTCTTGTTGCCTCATCCCCTTCCACGTTGCAGTACACCCAAGTCAACTGAACTGATCGTGAAAAACACTCTTCTGCCCTTCCAGGATATGGCTTTAGTGCCATACGCCTGCTCTGGCAGTGCCTGCTGCTGTTGGTGTAACAGAAGGAAAAACCACTATGTATACACATATATACACACACAAAAATATATAGTGTAGCCATTCCAAAATAAAGATGTGTTGTGGGTTCAGGCCAAAAAGAGCCCCTGAGCTTGCACTGACAACTAATGCCATGGTCAGGTAATAAATAAACAGGGATGAAGCTGGAGCAGGGCTGAAGCCACAGAACAAATGGCACTGTGGGCAGTGGTGCCCAACGTCGGGAAGCGTTTTGGCAGCCACCCCCTTCCCCTGTGCACGGCAGGGAGAAGCGATGCTGAACACCAGGTATCATTGCTGCTCGTGGGCAAGGGCGTTTGGGCAACCCCCGATGCAAGGCTCAGTGCTGCCTTGGTTGCCCCAGCTTGCAGATGCCCCGCTCCACCCTTGAAGCAGAAACACAGTGCTGGGTGAGGGGTGAGCTCCACACTCCGGGTTCCTTGGTGGGTGCACCGTCTCACCCCGTCGCTGGTGGCTGCGGCTCCTTGGCCACAGTGGCAATGAGCAGGGGCAGGAGTGGGTCTCCAGCTCAGGCCGTGTCCCTCATGCTTGGGCAGAGCCCGTCCTCCTGCAGCTCAGGGACACGCGGCGGTGGAGAGGTGCCGGCAGAGGTGCTTGATGAAGTCTGCTTGGGACTGCGGCAGGACGCGGTTAATGACTGACGTGGGGATCCAGCCCTTTGGGAGAGAAAACACCCGGAATTTGGTCCCGCTGGGTCAAAGAGAGTTTGGATGCCCATCCCGGGGAGCAGGGTGAATTTACATGCCGGAATGCACACCCCTTGTACCCCCAAGTAACACAGTGGCACTTGCCTTCAGGTCCATGCTGAGGAGCCAGGTGAAGCGGGTATGGCTGGGGGGCCCCGCCCAGGACAATGCAGCTCAGCCGGGACTCAGCCCTGTGGTGGGCAAGGGAGCAGGCAGTTAGGGTCCCCCCCAGGGGCAAAAACCAGGGGGGGTGAGGAGATGCCAGAGTGAATGCAATGGGGAGGTAGCTCTTGGCGTGCCTCCTGTGCCATGCCCAGTGCAAACATCCATGGCTGCGGAGGTGGTTCCCCCACCACAGGGACACGCGAGCCCGTGACGGTGGCTTTGGGGACTGTACCTGATGCACCCTTCCTGCGAGGGCAGCAGCTCGATGTGCGTGGCAGTGCCCACCAGGTACACTGCCGTATCCCTCCTCCCGCGGTGCCGCACGCTGACAAAGTCCCGCTGGCCCACCACATTGCCCGGGCTTGGAGCAGTGACTTCGTGTGTCACCAGTGTGTCCGTTCCGACACGCTGCAGCACCTACCAGAGCAAGGCGTGCCCCGGGGTACAGGGTCCTTGTGGCTGCCCGTCCGGGGACATCCCTGCGCCCCCCTTACTCCTGCCCAGGGGAGGTTTAGCCACCTTGGGGACAGAAGTGTGGGCTGGCAGCATGAGCAGAAGCAGCAGCAAGGTGGGGGTTTGGGGCTTGCACCTGGTGGAAATTAAATCCCAGTCCTCTGCAGGATATTAAGGGGGAAAGCAGGTGATCTTTGCAGCTTTTTTGATCTGGGATGGGACTCTCTCTATGCTATTTCTTTTTCTGAAGTGACAGGAAAGTGGTAGCAATAAATAAGCAGAGGCTGAGTAGCATCTGAGCCAGACCAGATGAGCTAGTGGAGGCTTTCTGAGGCTGGCAGCCTGCTTAGTGATATTCTGTGATTCGGGAGCTGAGAAATAAGGCAAATACTCAAAAGAAGTGCAACACAACTCATGAGCTTCCTGGGGGTGCCCCCACAGTGTGATATATTTGGTTTTGCCTCTTGTTTTGAGCAGTCTGATTCCCTGAACATTTTCTCGCCTGACATTAAAGTCTGAGCAACATCAGAGTCCCACAGTGCGGGAAAACCTCCGTGAACAGGCACCATGTGGAAAAGAGCCTGGAAACGACACTTTGCCACGCCAGTAAAGCACATCTTCTCTCCCTGGGGTGATATCCTGCTCTTGCAGGAGTGCAGGATTAGGTTTAATCCTTCAGCAATCTTAAAAGCCTTGATAAATACAATTTTTTGGATGCTAGCAAGCCTGGCAATGCAAAGCCTCAGCCCGCCTGCCCACGGTGGCATCGATCGCCGCCTGCAGTACATCCCTCCCCACCTCACCTTCACCTGGCTGACGGCTGGGTTCCACTGGGGCATTTGCTCAATCCTCTCGAACAGCTCCTGGTGCAGCCGGGCCACCGGCACGGCCAAGACCACCTCTGCCCGAAACACCTTGCCCAGCCCAGGGAAGGCGGCGCTGGACACGGCAGCCCCAGCGTCCTGGCAGAGCAGAGAGCCTGCATCAACCCAAACACCCCAAGAAGCACCAGCTGTGCGCTGAAATACCTTGCTAATAAATCCCACCAGTCCTCTTTTTAATCCTCGTTTGGTTTACTGTCGAAAGCTATTATAGCTAAATCATGCCACTGTGATTCCTTTTTTTTGTTATTTTAAGCTCCTTTCTAGCTCAGTTAAACAATTCAGCACACAGTTTAACGAACAAGCACCATAAATAACAATAAAGTCGCAATGTGTTGGGTTTTTCTGCAGAAATGCTCCTGGATTTCCCTGGGAAGATGATTATCTGAGTTTCCCCTTCCAAGCCTTTTTCTGCTATCTATCTGCTTTGCAGATGTGCTTGCGAATGTGCTTAACAAAGGTTTACTTGGAAAACCCTCTTTCCCCTGCATGCTTGTGCACGGTACATCTCCCGTGCCCATAGTTTCCCTTCGAGCAGGAGGAATAAGAGTAGGATATCTCCCCTCCCCAGACTCATTCCTCCTCCAGAGAGCTTTTCTGGCACGAAACTGCAAAGGCAAGAGGGGGCCAGGCTTTACCAGAATCACTTCTGCCTGCCAGCTGGTGTGCTGCTGCAGGATGCTCAGCGCTCGCTCCAGGGCCGTTTCTCCCTGGGTGATGTAGATGTCCACACTGGAGAACTGGCTGGGACTGACGTCTCCATCAGGCTCTGGGCAAGTGGCTGCAGGAGCAAGGCAGGGAAATGTGAAAAGCTCCCCCAGCTTTGCCTGCACATGTGGCTGCGGGTACAGAAGTGCAAACGGAGCTGGAGCGGAGGGGTTTGCTGACCCAAAGTCTCAGCCTTTACACCACCATTTCCACCACACAACTGTTCCCCTCTTGGACTAGGGGACGGCTTGGTGCAGAAAACGTTGCTCTCTGGAGCACCCCTGGTATTCATTTGCTGTGTCTGTGCTGACTGCTTGGAAAGCTTTTTGAAATTGTTTTCCAAATCAATTCCCAGTAACACTGAGGTACAAATTGCAAGTTGCTGGGTTATTATTAACATTGCCACAGGCAGCCTTTGGACCAAGATGCACTTCAAAAAAACCAGATGAATTTGCCAATTTTCAAGTCTTTAGGTAAGTGGTGGAACTAGAGACACAGCAGACGTGCAACTAAACACTGATAAGCAACCACAACCTCTGCTAAAAGCTTTCCCTGCCTGTACAGTTAGCCAATGCAATTTAGCTTCCCAGAATCTGTGGGTCTCCCCACTAACCCAATTTGCCATCAGTACAGAGAATGCTTTTAAGCTACTGGCGAGCTGGAGACCAGCCCATCAGCGAGAAGACAATTAACTCTGTCCCCCAAAATATGAGTCAAATCATATGGAGATCAACGCCTCCACGAGGTGTTGCAAGGGGATTGTGAGGAGGGCTAGGAAACGTGGTATCCGAGCGCCCAGGCTAAGCTTACCTGTCTCCTTCCCCATCAGCCTCTGAACAGAACGGGGAATTTTGGAAGGCAGGTGGCAGGATCCTCTCACCACCAGTCCTCTCACGTCCTTCTGTATTTCTGCAACGGCTGTTATCTTCAAGCCTAGGGGAGAGATGCACGGGCATGGGTGAGCATGGAGCATGTGAGGAAGATGCCATGGTGCCCCACATCTCTGCTGGAGGTTCATTTGCAGCTAAGACCAAGACTACCCTATGCAGGATAAAATGCAGGAGGGAAATAGATGCACAGAGGTGACGTTACCAAGGGAGCACCTCCCAAGGTGACACCCACTGGATGCAGACTTAGCATCTCCTCATTTCTGCCCGTTTTTCCCTGGGTCGGGGGGAAGGCAAGCAGTGCTTACCGGGCAGGCGGCGGAGGTGGTCGTGAGCGATGCCACAGCACAGCTTGACAGTGGCCCGCAGCATGGCGCAGGAGCCGGGCTGCCTCTGGGAACACACTGCATCCCGGCGTGCCTTTATAGCCGGCCTGAAGGACGGCACCTGATGATAGGACCACGCTGCCAGATAGCAGCTGGGTGTAGGGAGTACTCAAGGACAAGGCAAGCGAGCGGAGGGGCTGGAGGGAAAGGCCGTGCTTCCCTCTGAATGAGGAGTCCCTGCCTTTTTTCCTGCCCTTTGCAGACAGCTATGAATGAACGCGTCCCCAGGGCATGGCGGAGTCGGGACAGTTTTGTGGTCCCTGTGCCACTTTATTGAGGACTATGGTGACAAACCCAAGCTGGCAAAGGCAACCGGGGGCACCCGCATGGAGGGAAGGGTGGAGTGGGAGATGAGAGCAACGTGGCTTCAGTCTCAGGGAGTGTGGAAGCTGCTGTTACAGCCATGCTTGTGAAAAACGGTGCTTCTTTCTACGGAAACTTCATAGAAGTTATGGTGGTAATTGCTGCTGCTGTTAACTTCTCAAGTAACTCCTTGTTTTCCTCTTTCCTATTTTATGTCCTCCTAATCATCCTCTGCAGACCCCTGTTGCTTATGGTGATGGTGGGACCGCTACATCTTTCAGCATGAAATTATTCAGTCCTTCCCCTTGCGTTTTTAATGGTCCATCTTATAAGGTTAAATACAAAACCTACTAGGTCACTCCTCAAAATACAGCCACGCTGTGTTCCTCTGGCCCTTTGCAATATCTGCTTTTTAAGTGCTTTGGAAATCCCCCTTGATTTTTACCATAGAAAGGCTCTTCCACCTGTAGGTACCCAAGAGGTCGGATGCTTCTGCTTCACTTAGCATCACTACGGCTCACTTTACCTTCAGTCTCTGAGGCTGCAACTGCTGAAATGTTTGGGCAAGTGGACCAGGAGGACTGTTTGGCTTTATAAGGGGTATAAGGGACTTCAAGCCTTGCAGTCTGGTGTGAATGGGGCCAGCGGGTTTCTTGCTGGGATGGGAACAATCCTTCACCGCAGGCAGCTGCCTGCGGATCCCTGCTCCCTGGCACCTCCAGGGCTGTCACAGCAATGATGGGCACAGTCTAGTGAATCTATACAGTATTGCATGCTGCTTTAAAAAGTGTACTATTAGGAGTGGAGTAGCAAGAGAGATGACTGTGGATGGCTTTTGGTCATGGCAGAATAACTGCAACAGAGGGTAGTTGAGTAAATAGGAACAGCAGTGTTAGGAAATGACTGTTTTCACCCAAAGCTGATGGAGTTAAATAGGGTTATTTGCTCTTTCTGTCTCATGGTGCTGGGTCGCTTCGGGTGAGTGCTCGCTCCCAGGAGCAGCCACTCACCAATGGGGGTGACCCTTGCAGCCCCCCCGGCATCCTGGCAGCTGAGGAAGGCCGCCGCCCCTGCCTGCGGGGAGAGTGGCCAGAGCAGGGGCTTGTCCCCGTGTCACTCACCACAGCCTTGTCCCACAAGGGAGCTGGGCGCTCTGGCAGTCTCTCCAAACACCTTCCGTGCTGCTAATATATTTTTTCCTACAGTAAACATTGCATCCCTTCAATACTCCCACTATTGGCTGGGATGGAGTTGGGGGAACAGTTTCCTAGGAAAACTTCATTATTTTTCCCATGGGTTTTGGCCCTGCTATTGCTGGAGGGTTTTATCCCAGCCCTGGGAACTTGTTGGCTCAGCTCAGCCAGTTCCCAGGCTCCCCACCTGACTCACCAGCCCCAGCCCTGATCTTTACTACCCAGCTTTTCCTGCAGGGATAACCTCATGACACAGCCCCTGTGGCTTGCACAGCTGTGGCCCATTGCAGCTTCACAGCTTTCTCCCTCCATTCCTGATTGCTGGGTGGGTTATAACAGCAACCCCCTGCCAGCTGCTGCTCCTCAGATGCTTCACTGCTTATTTGCAGTGTGCTCTAGGGTGACTTCATGTGTGGTGGCACCTAGATAGCTGCCTGTGTGCATGTCCCATGGTTGCAGGAAAGCCTTGCAGATGTGGATGTGTATGGCCCAAAGGAGCTACAAGCTTTGCTGCAGGGGCTTGGGAGTGCACTGTAGCCCAATGGCAACTCTATGGGAGATTTGCTATTGCCAGGCCTCTCTGTTCAGTGCTTCTTTGGTGAGTTACAACCAGTTTCTTCTGGATTTTTCATGGGGTCTGGGGAGTCACTGGGCCCCAGGAGTTAGGAAATGCAATATGTTTTTTGCAAGTTGCCTAGGGAGGAGAGAGCGGTGGATGACAAGAGATCTGCCCCAGCGCTTTAAACCTGCACCTCCACTAGCCCCCAGGGAGACCCCATCCCCTGTGGATGGTCTATCCTCTCACACACACTCCCCTCGCTTTTGCACACGCTTTCTGGTGTTAGATTTGTCTCTGGAGAAAGCTGTAATAGACAGGCAGCTAATGTTTTCTCACCCTATTTGGTGAGCGGTGTCCATATGCTCTCCTGAGGGCTGTGCAACATGTCCTGGGAATAGAATGACTTACAGGGTAAAAGAAAATATCAAAAATTGCCTGTGATGGCAAACCTGGAGGCCAGGGGAGCATGGCATTGCAACATGAGACTTCAGGTCAGTGGTGAGGGGCTGCCATGGATCAGCTCTGGCCCATCACCTGCTGATGCAAAGGTCCCATGACCTTGGGTGTGGGTTGTGGGGTGCCGCTGGGTTGCAGGGTTCTGTGCACCCAGGCCCTGCATGGCTGCAGCAGAGTAGTTTTGGCCTGACATCTCCACCAGGTTTGGCTGCAGCCACTGGAGGTCACTGCTGATCTACTGCTCCGCATGCAAAGCCACTTTTGGAGAGGTGGGTAGGAGCCCTGCTCCCAGGTGCTGGCTCTGGGCTGCTCTGCCTCTAACCCCCTGCAAAATCCCTGGGAGTAGGGATTTTTGCTGCCAGCAAATAAGACCTCCACTAGGAATAAGCTCTGGCACCCCCAACCCTCCCGATCTTCACTGTCCCCTGCTTCTGGAGGCAAGGACCCGTTGGGGACCCATCATTTCCTGTCACACGGCTCAGTGTAGGACCTCCTGGGAGGGATGCTGGCCCAGGGGACATCCTGCAGCTCCGCCATATGTGAAATGCAAAGCCTGTAACCGGTGTTTTGGGAGGCAAAGGCAGAACTTCAGCAGCTAATTCTTCGCTTGTTGTTCTTGTCAAATAGTCTATAGTAAATTAGTAATAAAGTCCATTTTGAGGAGAATGCTCTTAATCATTTCTCTTCTTGGCCTGGCCAAGCCCCTTTCTGTCCCTTGTGACGGAGACCGCTTGGTGTCCCATGCAGTGCTGCTCGCCAGCTCCGTGGGTGCAATACAGTCAGCACTGGGGCTAGGGACTGGAACGTCCATTTTAGGAGGGTTTGGAGCTATTGCCAAAGGAATAGGTGGTTTTACAGAAATGCCCATGTCCCTTCACTGTCTTCTGCTGTTTGATCATCCAACCAGGACTGGGGAAAAAAAAATCTCCAGGAGGGACTGGGAAACTTTCGGGTTCACTGCCTCAGGAGGAGATCAATACTTCCAGCAGCAATGTGGATGGGTGAAATCCCGATTGATATCTCCTCACCATTTCCAAGGGGGCTGGGCACAGACTTTCAGCTCCAGTCCCAGCTATAGCACCTGGCCCTTTGGACAGGACAAGCATCTGCCTTCAGGACTAGAAGTGTTGATTTTGGATAACACTGTTGCTCAGCTTTTAAGTAAAATCTGGACTAAAATCTTTGGGAGTTTCCCCACCCCCTGAACACTGATGTCTCCTCACCTGCAGGTACTGAGCCAACCTCACTTAATTGTTTAGGGTAAAACTGATCTGCTCCCTGCTATAAGAATCCACCCATCAGCAATATTGTCCTCTCCACACCCTAGGGGCTAAGGGAGGCATTTTCTGATTTAGCCTGTGCAATGCCAACCTCAGCTGAATGACAAATCGGTCTCTGTAAATCTTCTTTAAAGAAGGAGGAGGGGGAAAGAGAGCAACGGAAAAGGCCCCTTTGACTGAGGGGCAAATGCTGAGGCTGAGAGGTTTCAGACCCAAATAGTCCTCCCCAGGCACCTGGTAGAGCAGCATGGTTTTAGATGGGGATTAAGGCTTGTGCAGGTCCGTAGGAAAGGTGGTCACATGAGTGGTGCATGCCAGCAGAGGTTTTAGCAACTCATCAATGTGTAAACCAGTCGGAGTCAGCCCGACTCCCAGCTGTGAGACAAGAGCAATGGGAAATAATGGGATGCTGCCTGGGGAAAAGGTGAAGATGGGGAGCAAGTGGGACTCAGAGCTGCTATTGGCAGCTGTGCAAAAAGCTGAGCAATGCAACAACAGCGATACGGGCTCCCTCCTCCCACGGTCACTCAGGGATCCTCCTGTTCAGACCCGAGGGCAAGTCCCAGGGCAACTACTCTCTGTGTCCTTGGGGCCTGCTCTGAGTGAGACTGCTCTGTAATCAGCAGAACCTTGATGCAGGGGAAGCCCTGATTTTAAGCGAAGTCTTGGATGGCCTCCAATATCTTTGCAGAAGTTGGCAGGAGAGGATAAGACAGCATCTTTGGCTCCATGGGAACCCTCTTGCAGGGCTGCTGTCATTTCCAATAGTGCTCTGGGGGTTTCTGAGAGCACAGGTAGCCCTTGTGTCCCCGTCTTGCAGCCCTGATGGGGCATTTAGCTATGTGTCTCTGGGGCATCCCAGGTATGGACCTAGAAAGCAGGTCCCTTGGGAGTGTGACTTTAAAGCTGGCTTTGGCCATGCTGTTCTTGCTGGAAGTGGCTGTGCTATGGGAGCAGCTCTCTGCCTCTCTCCTCTTCCTGGCTGTATGGACAGAAAAATTAAGATCCAAACAAAGAAAATATAAAAATACATGGCATTTATTTCCATACATAACCAAAGCGCTTGTAATTAGTGTCTCCAGATGGAAAACCAGACAAGTTGTTTTCTCCCAAACCAGGAGACTCTGTGCTACTTCGTCAGGCTCCTAATTTTAAAAAAATGGTCAGTCTCCTTTTTCCTAAAAAGCAAATTTTGTAAAACAACAAGTATTTCAAAGGCACATTCTTATCAGGAAGGAATGAATAAATACTGTTTTTTCCTTGCGAGCCTCCCTCCAGCACTGGAGAGGTGTTTGGTGGTTGTAGCTGATAACAATCCAGCTTGAGAGGAGAATGCAAAACAGAAGAACAATATTTACTTGAAGCTAATTGTGATTTTCACAAATGGTCACCAAAAGAGCCCAAATATCAGCAGAAAAGGGAAGCTGCTGTATCTCTTTGTTGCTGGAACGCTGCCTTCCTGCATGTAGGGTTGAGGCAATCCTATCTCCATCTGCTGCCTCCATTAAAAGAGAAGGGGAACTGCTGTTCAGGAGATAAGAGAGGCCAGAGGCTTCTCCAGAAAGATGTAAACTTTGGATCAAAAAGGAAGATGAGAGGCTCTAGGCAGAAGCCGCTTCTCAATAGATGGGTTTTGAATCTGCATGCACCAGCAAAACATATGTGCTGGCTTCTGTAAAGAGGAGGAAAGGGATGCGATGGAGGTGTGACCCTGCGACTTAATTTTTCCAGTTTGGCCTGAATAATGTCCACACTGAAGGATGATTACCTGAAGTAACAGCTTTATAATGTTTGTCCAAGCTCTCTGTGATAGGTTCTCAAATGCAGAAAGGACCATGTCAGTCAAATGTGGTCTCTTGCCCTCCATGGCAATCAGCAACTGCATTTGCCCCATAAAATGGACTGAACCACCAATAACTCATTAAAAAAATAATACCCAAAGGTTGGAGACTTTTCCAAACACCTTGGCAGGCTGTGTCCATGGTTTGAAATAATTCAGTTCCCCAGCTGCGCATTGCTGACTTCAGATCCAGCTCTGTGTGCCACCCCTGTTAAAGCAGTAATTTCTCTACTTCCAGTGTTATCGTCCATGCTGGGAGTCCTGATAATCTCAAAACACCTTTTTAATCCACTCTTCGCAAACACTAAAATGCTTGTGCTCTTGTGGGTTTTAATTACAACGTGTTTTTATGACCTAGGATGATTCTTGCAGCCCTGCCTGTCTTAGAGGGGAAAAATGTGGAAAAATTCAAGTGCAGACACTAGCGCAGGAACTAGTTGCTGAGGATCAGCATCATGCGGGGGATACGAAGAGCTGTGATGAGATGCTTTAATGCCTTGGAGGCATTAAATGTCTCTTCCCTTTTTCCTTCAGCCAGTCCCTACTTGAGTCCCCCTACCTCCTCCCACCCTTCCCCAGTGGCCAGTGGGTCTCCAGCATTTTTTTCCACATTTTTCATCTCCATCCTTGATACAAGGATGAGATGTTTCAAGATGAGAATCGAGACTGCTGGTCTACGCTCTTTAGAAGGGTCTCTTGCAATTTGCTACACTCT